GCGGTTACGAAATAACTGACGACGTAGTGTATCCAGTGGTATTTTAACGATCGTTAACGATTCCTTTAGACCTGCTCTTCTTAGGCATCGTTTTGTAGCTACGCTTACTTCGTCGCTAATAAAGGGCAACATAAACGGGACTTTCTTTTGGGCAAGTGTTTCGTTTGGGGGCGTCGCTCTCCTTCTAAACTCGTGCGGTAACTATTTCGTAGCCATTGGAGATGGCTATTTGCAGAGCTAAGTCGCGAAATTTTTCCTTTAGTTCTCATTTTGTGCACACAGAGGTGGCTGTTGGAAGCATGTTTCTCACAAACGCCCTCTTTGTGTGTGAAAGGTGGGAAGAAACGAAATGAACGAGGATCTTCTTCTTGCTTGGCTTTCGATACTACTTTGTCATGTACCCGCTACTGATAAGTGGACTTGAACGTTAAGAAATGGAAGCCAGTTCTGTTTCGGTTTCTCCAGGATGAAGTTGATGTACTCCTCAGACTGCTCGTTCAATAACTCAGAACACTTGTCTATCCCCTTTTGAGTAAAGAAATTGAGAAAACAGTCATCTATGTATCTGCGGTAGAGTAGCGACCGGAGATCGATAACGGGGGCCTCTATTCTAGACGTAGAATCAGTGGCGAGACTTTGTGCCAGTAGCTGTCCCATTGCTAGCCTTCTCATTTGCGCATAATATTTCACGGACCATTTTAAAATCGAGCAGTTTAGGAACTCTTTTAAGAAAGTCATAACCTGTTGAATGGAGAAGCATACGTATTTATTAATCCTTTCGTTTTCCACAAGAAGTTCGATGACGGCCATCACTACGAAGTCATTCAGTACGTTGGTGTACAGCGCGGTAACGTCGAAGGGCTCCACCACTCACGCGCAGTTAGGAAACGCGTTACATGGGCATTCTAGGAACGTTTTGGTGTTCTGAAGTAAGCTGAAATATGTTTAAGCGGCTGAGTAGGTACTAGGCTTAGAAACCATGCTATTCTTTCCGTTGACCAGCCTAAACAGCTGATAATGGGTCTAGCCTTGTAGAATGATGGATATATTTCGCAACATACCCTGCCATTAAAAAGAAAAAGGCAGTAAATAAAAGAGTTAAGATCGTGATTATAACTAAGCCTCAACTTAACTGGGTTCAATGCCGATTTGGGCTCCCCAGATCAATCCCGTTGACGGGTGATTGCTGATGGCAAAAGATCAATAGAACTAGCTGAGAGACAGGCAAAACGAAGGACCCGGATGGTGTGGTGTGCAGCTGTGAGATTAGTGGTAAAATTTCTACCGCAATAATGATTAAGGATTTTGAGAACATCGTCCGAAAACATACGGAATTTCGCATCGATTTGCACGTTATGTTACTGATGTCTAAGGAACGCTCTGGAAAAAGGAGATGGTGTTAATCTCGCCATCTCTTGGTTTCCACTTTTATTCGAAAATTCCTTATTGGCCCGATAGCGATGTCGATCTGGACGCTCATACAAACTGCAAGCTATCCTACACACGGTTGCTTTAGAAATTGGTTGTAATGGTGAAAAGCTTGAGTCCAGCTTGGTTATAATCGTGAGCGCTCGCTCTTAGGCATGGTCGTGCCCTAAATACAGTGACTCTGGACTTTTTTGGGTTGCATCATCAACCCTATTTTGACTCCTGTCATAAGTGAAAATAGTCCATTTATGATTTCTTTAAGCCGAGATAAGCAAATTGCTCAAAAGATTCTCGAACTTTCATTACGCCGACCACTACGCCACGTGCGCTTTTAGCCCATAAAATAACTAGGTGAGGTTAAAATTCCTCACAGCGTAAGGAAACGATGTTCGAGAGCAATGTTTTATTGTTGCAGGTAGAGAATGAGTACCCGTGTCCATGATATATCGAAGTGTTGCTTGAGTCTCCATTTTTTGAAGTTTTGCTGGTTTAGCTATTGCTTTCCAAGAGTTCAGCCTTCCGAAATCCTTCCCTGGGTCGTCGACACCGCAAGCAGTCGCAGTCCTTGTGGGTCAGAGGGACATTTGCCACCATGCGACTAGTTTGATACATGGGCTGAGGTCGATCCCGACATTGATTTACTCTTAGCTAGGTAGAGTAGACTCCCTAAGCCATAGTAGTTCTACTGTCAGAAGCACCTCCACTCACTATGAATTAATAAACCATTTGTGGTATTGCCGTTGTATATGGATTGCTACAAATATTATAGTCTGGTAGAACGAAAGTTATCCTTTAAAAATGTTCCAAGGAAAAATGAAGAAAATTGTCTGAAACGGTTTGAATGTCATTTATTTAGAAACTTTATTGTGTTGGTATAACACGGTAACAACATGAAGTCGAAGAGCGTTGATGTGGACAGTAGTTAAAGTTAAAGATTTCAAACGTCGGTGCGGAGGTACGGGGCGAGATGACGTGTGGTCTTCTGGCATTCCTCTCTGCTGTTCATTCTAAGGTTCCTGGTATTTATGCAAGAAGCCTTAAAAAGTTTTCGCTCTGGCGTTTTAGTCTGCTGTGCTAGGATATTGACTTTTGCTTCAAAATCGTCTCCGCTATGCTTTTTTATCCAATGCGTGCCTAGTGGGCTACTTTGTCTTAGTTTTCGTTTGAGGCTTGCTACTGGAATTGGGCCTAAGCTTTGCACTATCACAGCCCATTTCTGAAACGACCCTCGTGAGATAGCGTTCCACCTTTATGAGCTTCAAGATCGACCCCGCTATCAAGCCAAAGAGGAAACATCAAATAGAGATAAAAGTCAAGATTCGGCGACACTACCACCATTTCCTTTCCCTAAAAGGTTCTTTCCACAGCGGCACCCTAACAATGGAGTTGACATAAAATTCGGCATGTTTTCGGACGACGCTCTCAGGTCCCTTAATCACTACCGTGATAGAAAGTTTATCTCTAACCTCACAGCTCCACAAAAATGTGGCATGCGAGAATTTAGAGAATTAATAAACTCGAAAACAATGAGATTGTCTTTTAGTGATAAGGGCAAGAGTTTGTAGTTATTCCTCGCCAGTTGGATGGTGAGATAACAGACGAACATCTTAGTGATGCTACTCTCTATTGCCTATCCTCTGAAAAAGAATATAAAAGTCAATACCGAAAACTAAACAATCAATGGGTCAGCGTGGCAAAGGCTGCGGGCTTAAAATCATCGGTTATTTCGCACTTTAAAATCGACAGACCAACATGTCCCGTCCTATACCTACTTATTAAAACACATAAGTTGGTTTCACCTGATGATCATGCGTCAACCAAACCATCATCATTTAAGGTTAGACCGATCATCAGCTGTGTAGACGGGCCAACGAATAGAATAACCTAGTTTTTAAGCCTGATACTTACCCAGTTGCTTAGCCACATTCCAGCTCACCTCACAAACACCCAAATTTTCCTAGAACGTCTACGTAATGCGTCTCCTAATAACGCGTACGTGATGGAGTCTTTCGACGTTACCGCACTGTACACCTACGTGTCGAATGACTCCGCAAAGCAAGCCATCTTCGAACTTCTTGTTGAACATGAAGCAAGAATAAATATGCATGGCTTGTCCAACCAGCAGCTAATGACTCTCTTAAAGGAGTGCCTAAACTGCTCGATTTTTAGATGGTCTGGGAAATATTTCGCACAAATAAGGGAGTTGGCAATAGGACAGCGATTGGCACCAAGCCTTGCCATTGTGTTTATACCTAAGATAGAAGCCCCGTTCTCGATCTCCAGCCACTACTCTACTGCAGATATGTAGATGATTGTTTTGTCGTCTTCTCTACGCAGGAGGAGATGGACAAATGCTTTGAATGATTGAACGAGCAGTCCGAGTACATAAAGTTCTCCCGGGAGAAACCGAGGAAAAACTGGCTTCCGTTTTTGGACGTTCAAATAAACCTATCAAGTAGCGGTTACCTGACAAAGTGGTATCGAAAGCCAAGTAACAAGAACATCCTTGTTCATTTCGTTTCTTCCCACCCTTCACACACAAAGAGGGCGTTTGTAAGAAACATGCTTCGAACAGCCACCTCTGTGTGCCTAAGTGAAACAACAAATTGCGTAATTTGCCCTTGCGGCAGGGACGGCGATTGCATGAGCTCAGGTACGATATACCTGATCTCTTGTAATAATTGCGAAGATGTTGGCGAAACGGGCAGACCTTCGTGTATCCGTATAAAAAACACCTAGATGGCAAACGAGAACTAAACAAAGTACCCCACTATGCACGCATAGGACTTAAAAGCATAGCGGAAGCCATTTTGAAGTAAAAGTCGATATCCTTGCACAGGAGACTAGAACGCCAGCGCGTGAATTTTTTGAGGCTTCTTGGATAGATGCTAAAAACCCTACAATGAATAGCATGGATGAATGCCCAGAGGTTATGCGCGACCTGACCCCGTATGTTCGCATCAATTTCTAATGTGGGATGGTACATCAACCACATTCGGTTATAATCAGCTGTTCTAAACTTCCTCATTGAAAGTCACGTAAAAAGCGGTAAGTTTTTCCGGAAGCTGTTGGTCATGTAATTACCATAGAGTTTTTCGTCTTTTTGTAACTGTTATTGAAGCGTTTGTCCTAATAGATTGTATATCAGTATGCCCTTCCAAGCTCTGAAAAAGGCGATACTGCCGAAACGTCGGTTACTCTTGTATTGTATTGTGTTTTTCTGTGGAAGTAAATGTGTGCTGTTTAACAATCTCGGGCTTTCTGAACAACAAAACGACGCATGACTTATATCTATATGGTTCATGCAATATCTAGAAAAGATTTTTTTCTTGGCATCTCATTTAAGTGACGAGCTCTTCAAAAGGTGGGAATGAAGATAAGATCAGGCTGGACGTAAATTAATATCGAACGTGTTTGCTGATAACTCATGTATTCCCTGAAAGTGATTTCACAATCTCGGACCTTGTTCTTCAACTAACTAGCGTTTCAATAGTGAGGGTGTTTCATTTAATTTCATTTACTTCCACCGACTGGTGTATTTTGTGCTTCTTCTACTAATCAATACTTACATAATGAATGATGTCACGAATTTGTACAAAGCATATCGAGATGAAATAGAATGCCAAGTGGAACGATTTGCTGGAAGCAGTTGGGATTTCACGACAGCAACAGCAAAAAAGATCGAGGAAGAACTAGCATCTACGAGTACTGCATCAGAGATAACAACTGAGTCGGTTATCAATGTGATGTCAGACACGGTAAGTGCTTAGTGCTGTAGTTGTTCAAGTGACTAATAAATTTGATTGTTACTGGTGATTTTTTGTATCACCTGTCGCCTGTATCACCTGTAGTGCCGTTGATCGTAGAGTGACTCGAGCGGGCGCCAGTAAATCTTCCACTTTTCCCTGTCGCCTGAAAGAGTAGTCCATTGGGTTCTGCTTACTCTAAGGATTTTGGACATGATTAAAACAACAAAATCTTTTACTGTTGATCACCGGACACCGTCAATGAAGGAAATTTCGGGTCTTTAGAAAGGTGGCATTTCTTGGAGATTTCGGAGGCACTACTACACGTCCATAACATAGCGGTGCTCGATTGCTTAGACGTCGTTGTCTGAGGAACTGTTTCTGTTCTCGACGAAATAGTTCCCTTTCACGCAATCTCGGATTTACTTCCTCACATTTCAGTTTTGCCTTCTCGAGGGAACCTGGCAGCGCAGCTAAATTTAGGAGCGATGGTAAATTACCGAAAAGATTAGCGTGAGGGTGTGTATTTCTTGAACAATAATATTTTGAGCTGAGACTACTTGTGCTGTCGTTCTCAAGCAGATAAAATTCACGTTGAAAGGCAGCAACTCTTTATTCCAGCTGGCGCGTTTTCATCAGTATTTGGGGATTGGTGAAACCACGTTGCTCTAAACTAGCTGTGGATATTGCCGATTCCGTAGTTTTTGTAGCGATAACGATCACTGGCCTTTCTAGTCATTGATTGGTTTCTATATCGATCTCGGGAGTGCTGATGATCATGATCATGAAGGCTATGTGATTGCTCGGTCTTATTGTCTGTTGCCTACCAACAATAACAAATTTGTCCAGCTATCGCCTTGAGATTATGTAGATTGTAGATTATTTCTGGACATAAAAATCTGGATAGCTTTGTCAGAACTATAATACTTGTGGAAGTTGATAACGAAGAAAAGCATTCTGATGGATCCTTAATATTTTAAATAGCAATCTTAACTCTTTTATTTACTGCCTTTTTTCTTCTCAATGGCAGGTTATGTTGCGAAAGACCCGGATGGTGTAGTGGTGAAGTGCGCTGCTCCCCGGTAAAGCCAACAGCGCGTGTTCGTTCTCCACTGCATACACCTGTGGTCCGGAGTTTTGCAAATATCTCAGCATTTCATACCAGTTATCTTAAATAGCATCAAATTTTTGGCAAGATGAGATTTTTTGCTGTGAACAAGGCTTTTCATTGAGATTAATCGTCACTCCGTTGTCCGCTTAAATGTAACATGATTTGAGATTGGAATTGTTTTGTGTTGCATCAAATCGTTGTTGTATGTAGTAGACAATCTCGTTCACACATGAAAAATGGCCAACTATTCCACATACCTGTTCTACCTTTCTTCACGAATCGTCAGTCTCAAGCACAACAGTCTGCTTGCTTTGTTCTCTGATGATATAGTCTCCCGCAGATTTGATCGGTTTTTTATCTTACAATGTGATCTTTCTCGACGAGCTGAATCGTCCTCAAACCGTCGGTCTACTAATCGCATGACTCGATGCCTGCCTGAACAATCTGTTCTCAATGCATGGTCATGGTAATTCTAGGATTAAAAAACACTTTCTGTAACTGTTTAACATTTCATTCCAGTGAAATGTCGGAATCTGCGTAAGAAACTTTTGATTTGACCAGTTCAATTGGTGATTGCTCTAAGACGCCGAAGCCTATAGCGAAGTGCTGGGAACCGCGCAACAAGTGATGTCTGGTTAACCTATCCTAAATATTGAGACTGACAGAAAGAGAACGTTCTTGGTAGAGATAAGAAGAATTCTGAATTTTTAATGATTTTAAGACATAATGAACTTGGAAGCTGTTTAAATACACTGGCTTAATTGGTCCCGTTCTCAATATCCGCCATGTAATCTTCAGTACAAAAGTTGCTCATTTATCACCAGTGCATATTTGCGTAAATCGTGGGCTTTATTTAACAGATCAAATTATGAGTGAAACAAATAACGTGCATGGTGTGGTGCTGAACGCGTAAAGGATAATAGCTCGCTCGTTTCCTACCGCAGACAGCTGTGGTCAGGAATTTTTCAAATATCTCGGCACCATTGTGATTGTGTCACACATAAACCCTGTGGTGAAAAATTGTAACAGCAGTAAATAAAGAAGTTAACATTCTGGTTTTGACTGCAGCCTCAGCTTAACTAGGTTCAATGCCAATTTGAACTTCCTAGATCAATCCCGTTGACTGGTGATTGCTGATGGCATTGATCGATTGAACTAGCTGAGATACTTAAACGAAGGGCCCGCGTGGTGTGGTAGTGAACGCGTTAACACTCGGAAAGGGTAATAACGCGTTCGATCTCCACCGCAGACACCTGCGGTCCGAAGTTTTGCTAATATCTCAGCAACATTGGGGAAATTGTAGGTGTTTTTCATAACGTATTTGAAAAGCCGAATAGCGGCGGCACCATTCTTTTGCTTTGTCGATCATAAACAGGCAAATAACGAACCGACTAATCTAAATGATGCTTTTAAACCATAAAGGCTACATTATGTTAGAAATTTAGGCAGATGTCGAAACGCCAAAGAACGTTGTTGTTCAAGTGTTCGCATGGGCTACTGTGACTGTTACAGCTTCAATGATAGGCACCTTCATGGGTTATACTGTGCTTTCACCAATTCTAATATCTAATATGGAAAAACACAGTGCATTCATATTGGCTTACGTTGTTTTACCTCTTATCGCCACACTCGTTATGCGAATGGTGCGTCCTACTTCTCCGTCGAACAATCTTTTCAGAGAACTTGAAAAAATAAAAAGTACTGGTTATAGTACGACCACGATCCACGATACTGTGGTCCACACGTGGATGCCGAGGTTCGTTATATATCGATGACATTCGCCGTACTACAAGGAGTGTGTAGTGGCCGCATACTTCGAAATCTATATATATCAGCACAACCACTGCCCTTTCTTACTCCGGCATCGATAGCCATTTCCTTCGCAGTGAGCGGTCACACCAACTTATTTTTTTTAGTTTCTTACTTTTCCTTCTGTGTTTAACCTTGCTATCTTATCCGTAGCTAGCCTTTCTTCATTTCTGGAGCTCAGGTTCACTCCGGCTATTTGAGTTCAGTTATTTTTGCACATATTTAACGTGTGGGCGCATGTGACGCAGTGGTCGGAGGTGCCGTGCAATACACAAAGGATCGATCCCCTCACCCATGGCCCACGAAGCCTTCCATACTTCCGGGCTCGGAATGTTGGTATCAGACTTCTCTGGGAGGATAGTGACAGATACATCGAAAATTGTTTTTAGCCTGGCAAAACAAAACTACAATAGGCCTGAAGTAAGTGATTTATGGCAGTTGCGTAGACCAGTGACTAATCGAGTTCGTTTTTCAACTCTGTAAAAATAATTGCGTCACCTGCTTGTTCGCTGGTTATAGAGGAATTTGAGAGAGCAAAATGAAATCAAAAATAACTCAAAAGGCCGACTTTCTATAAACCTCGACATAGATAGTTGATATATTTATTTATATGATCTTATAACCTGATCTTTAGCTGATGCGAGGTTGGCATGTCTTCGTTGCCGTTGTCGTTGTTGTTGTTGTTGCTGCTCTTCTCGTTGGTCGCTGGTCGACGTTTCGGCGATTTCGCCTTCTTCAGAGTCGTGATGTTACGACTGGGGCTTCCCATATTTCGGCTCTGAGGAAGGCGAAATCGCCGAAACGTCGGCCATCGACCAACGAGAAGAGCAGCCACAACAACAACAATGACAACGACAACGAAGACTTATACCAACCTCGCATCAGCTAGAGAGGATCAGCTTATAAAGATATATAGATGAATTTATCTGGGAAAGGTTCCCTGCGAACTAGGAAAAGCGATGAGTGCCGGTTTTGCTGGCTTGGGAACACTAAATTGGACTACCACAGGATTCTATGGCAAATTGAGGAGTGATTTAAACCGGAAATGGAGAAGACTAGTACAGAAAGAAAGAAAAGCAGAAAAAATCTTTTCAGTATATGCCGATCTGTGCAGGTAAAAATCGTCTTGCACTTCTATCAACATCGTTGAACTTTGCAATGGCAATGAACATCGCTTTCGGCGCGATTATGAATTGGTTGACTCTTGCGTACTACATGCTATCATTTTGCTATGTGCTGGGATCATGGATCACATTGCAGTTGGCATTTCTCAACATTCGAAAAAACGTAAGTGATTAATTTTACTGAAAGGTAAACGTCTAATCATCGTGTAAAACCTCACTTGTTACCCTTTGTCTCAATTTATTTTTATTTTTATTTTTTTTTTACAGAATTTAATACACGTACATCAACACTTGCTCGTGTCGATTCTCATTGGTGTCAAAGGAACTTTCTTTCTTCTCTTTGGATCATATGCGTGAGAACTTTTCCATGCTTCCTATGAAAAATAGTTTCCGTAGTTTTAAGAACTGGATTACGACTTTTTTCAGATATACATAAAAGTCTTCCAGCGTTCAACTACTGATCCTACATTATGAACACAAACGAATAAACGCTGAGAAATTTGCTCTTGTTGTTCGTAAGAAAAATGTCCCTCTTTTCATGAATAAGATGACTTTTGCTAATAAACTATGTCATATTAAAAGCAATTATTAAAACAATTTTATAATGCGACCACAATGATGATGAGATAATTCAATGTTTTTCATCAATAAGCAGACACGAGGTTGTTAATATAGAATTTATTAGGATACAATAGCTGACGTTTCGGCGGTTTCGCTTTCTTCAGAGCCTGGAAAGGTCAAATTGAGATGTGATCTACTCAGCCAAACACTTTCATAACTCCAGCAGATAAAACTTGACAAATCGATTTGCATTCGCATAAGAAACAGCTTCATTCAAACACCTACTGTTTACTTGTTGTAAGTATTTAAGTTAGTTGGTGGATAGCCGCCGCACAGAGTAATACATGGTCGATAACTGGGTCCATGTCAGGTCATGCCAAATGCCAAAAATTTGGCTTGCCAAAAATTCAAAAATGAACCGCAAGGAGGTGTGTCTTGTCATCACGCGTGACCTGGCGCCATACCTCAGGCTGATCCAATGACCTGACACAGACACAGAAAAACCTTCTATTTACTACGACGTGGTCTATTTCGCAAATCGATTTGTCAAGTTTTATCTGCTAGGGTTATGAAAGTCTTTGGCTGAGTAGATCACATCTCAATTTGACCTTTCCAGGCTCTGAAGAAGGCGAAACCGCCGAAACGTCAGCAATTGTGTTCTAATAAATTCTATATTAACAACCTCGTGTCTGCTTATTGATGAAAAACATTGAATTATCAATTAATGCCGAGGTTAACAGAAAGTCGATCTTGGGAATTACTACGTGAAGTGGCAGCAGATGATGAGATATTTGCAAAACTCCGGGCAGCACCCATCTGCGGTGGAGAACGAGCGCGTTGTTACCCTTTATGGGGGCTAAGACGTTGACCACCATGCCGTGCAGGTCCTTCATTTTCCCTGTCTCTCACCTGGTTCTATCGATCATTGCCATCAGCAATCACCGGTCAACGGGATTAATCTAGGGAGCTCAAATCGGCAATGAACCTAGTTAAGCCATGGCTCTAGTCGAAATTACAATGTTAGCCTTTTATTTACTGCCTGTTACAATTTTTAGCTGCAAAAAACTGGAGATGAGTGACATGGAATGATACCGATGCTACTTCTTACAGTGTGTCACTATGGTCCATCATGCGAATACATTGCTGTCAACACTTGGAGGTATTTTGGACCTCGTGTTGAACGTATTTCGCTAGGTTTTTATAACCCCACATTCCATGCATTAACCAAAGCGGTTAAATGAAATAGCTGTTAACCATTAGTCAAATTACCGGCTAGCGATCTGTTTCGGAAAAAGGTTTTTTTCCAAGTAACTGAGTGCAGAGGCTATTAGTTGAGAGCTTTTTTTCCTGGCCTCACCTATATACATTGATCTGCGTTCGCTTAGCCATCAAACGAATATGCATAGTATGGTAAAATAAAGTTCTAGAACGCGCCAAATTGAAAACGGGCCCTGTGGCGCACATACCGTTTCCCGCTCCAGACGAGCATAAGCACTTACAGCTTCCATACTAGGCGTTATGGATTAAAACAAACTGTTTTTTTTTTAGTAAAACTGAACCAAGTCCAACAAATAATTGCTTTCTTTTTCAAATACGCTTTAGCAGCACTATGTTATAAGAATTCGCTTGTTTAAATCACCCATTATTTACTTGCCTGGATAATTGGGTGGCCCGTCTACAGGAGTGGTGCAGACCCCAGCATATTTGCTGTTCGTTTCTTTCGTTCGCAACTGTCATCCATGGTGGTGGTTTTATTCAAGCTTGGTGCCAGGCACAAGTCTCATACCGTGATCTGTGAAACAGCCATGACTGCGTGTGCAGCTGTTTGACCTTATTTACGAACATGTCCGCCCAACGTGTACGTGAACATCCTAGAGCAAGCTTGAATTCCCCTGGTATCCACTTTATAGTTCTTTTCCTCCACCTGTCATCTGTTCCTCTTATTAAATGACCGCCCAATCTATACTTCGTTGTCGATGTGTAGTGCGACAGACTTCGATAATGTGAGCTTCGAATTCTAGCTTGATCTTCTGTACTCTGGCTATATTTCAGAACACATCGTTCAAGAGCTTTGTGGGTAGAGCGCAGTATTGTTAACGAGGTTGATATATCAGCCCACATTATAATATACCGCTGCGAAAACTGTTCAACGGAAAGGTGGTTCCGGATTTTTGAGTCCTTTAGTTACACTCGGTGGCTTTTTTGAAAATCCCAAATGCGGTCCAGGGTACTCTCCTTCTTCTCTCTAATTCCTCTTCGTGTTGTTTCCCATGTTTACTGAACGTTCAAGGTACACGTTGGGGTTAGGAAGGAAAATCCAATAAGTCGAACGACCTAATAAAACCTATTAGCTTAATAAAACATAACAGACAACTCCTAAGAGGTAGGCAAAAGGAACAGCTTAATAACTTTGCAACAACCAATTCTACTCACAAATAAATGCGGTTTATTGGCCACGGGATGATTAAAGTTGCCATAAGCGAAACCATTTCTATTCTACGGACGACGATTTCAAAGAAGCAAAACAAACAGAAATTCTGTTGGAGCATGCACAACTTGTGAAAAGACAACATAGATACCATAGAAAGTGGTGGTTGACACATCAGATGTAGTGCGCATGTGAAATCCTGTTAGTCGCAGTGTACATGAAAGTAAGGAATCTATTTTTTCTGTTTTTTTTTTTACTTTACATGGCACGTCTTTACACCTGCTGAGTGGGTCACTGCACTTCTTGCCTCCGATTCCTTTTGCTCGGATTCATCGTCCACAATCGCCTTCGAATAGCACGCTTTTTACTTCGGCTGCTGCTTAAAGATTTCACGTAGAATGCTGATTCAGCCTATTACCTTTGTAACCCTGGAGGATGAATGCGATTGGTTAATTGAACTGGTAGCGTTCTTGCTTCATAAACCACCGCGGTACAATTTATCTTCCCAGATTTTTCTGTTAACAAGCATGATTTCAAAAGAAGATCAACCGCAAGGAGTAATTTTGCTAAAAAATTGCAATCTAGGAGGCATTGTTAAAATACTGATTTCATTCTATTAGTTCGCACATTTTGGTGTGTGGGGCGCAGCGCTCAGAGGCGTCCTGGAATACACGTTGGAACGATTCCGGCGCCCGAGGCTCTCCAAGCTCTCCATCCCTCCGGACTAGGTAGATTGGCACCAGACTTGTTTGGGAGGATAGCAGCGCCGCTAGATAAATCGGTAGGCCACCGCGAGTGATTGCAAAGGCCGGATATTTATTCAGTCATCTCCAACGATGGTTGATGAAATCGAATGCTTGGCGCATCTCTCTGGGATCGATTACCGCCATGAGCTCTTTTTATTTTGCATAATCCATATACAGATCTACTGTGTGGTTCCCAGCACTTTCTCAATTCGATTCGTTTCCTTGTGTCCATTTTTCATGAAGCTTTTCTAGCTTCAGTCTGTGGATTTGGCTTTTGCTTGGTCTTGTGAATTTCCTTGAATGCTGATTGAGTCGATTTTCTCTACAGTCCTGGGATGGCTGTGCTAGTGCACATAAATTCGAGAGGGCTTGTTGAATCCATGCAAGTACTACGCAATTTCGTTAGACTGGAGTGAGGCGAGGCTAGGCGTACTCAGCGCGCAGTTGTACCTGCACCGTACCTGACAAGAAAATTGAACAACACCTTTCTATGTTTACTATGACCACCCCTAAAGCAATTTACGCCTTACACAAAAAATAAGACAGCTTGAGTCATTTCCAAATATACTATGCAGCTTTAGCATTCGAAATCCTAACTTAACACTTTAAAATGGCACACACTATCTCTATGAGCATAGGAGCGTATCGTCGTTAAGTAACACATAGGATGAAGGGTAAAGGACAAAGCTCTCGACGTTGATTAATCCCTGAGGGATACACCATGCATTCGACTTTATTAAGTACCGTTTGGAGGTGATTGAATACATATCTGGCCTTTACAATGACTCGCGGTGGTCCACCGATGTATCGAGCTGTGCTGCCATTACCCCCAGACAAGTCTGGTACCAATTTACCGATCCCGGAAAATGGAAGGCTTGGTGGGCCATGAGCGCGGAGAACGATTCCACCTCAAACCACTGCGCCACACGCGCCCCTACACATAGGATACCAAAGTATTTTACTTGGACTTTTGAAAAAGTGTTTGCAGATGGCTGTCTCATCTTTATTAGTGGTTTACTTCTTGTTTATAGGAGCCAAACAGAAGAAAGAATGTTCCTTTTGCAATAATGAATCCATAGTTAAGAGCGTTTTGATAGACACAACCTCTTGCCTGAAATAACTGTTTCGGCTCTGCATTTTATAAAGTGGAGTTTTAATTTACTACCCTTACCTACTGAGGTAGGAATAAAAGTTTGCTTTAACTAATCTATGTGCTCTAATACCAACCTCTTCATGGAGATTCTTGAAAATGAGCTGCATCACAACTGCGGCAATGCCACCGAACGTGAGCGAAAGCAGGAAGTAGGTGAACGATAGGTTCCCAGTTACTAATCCTACAGCGAAATTAAAAATAATTGCAGCACCAATTGTACCAGCAAGAAGTGCTACACGATTTCAGTTGGCGGGTAGTGCAATAGTCTAAAACATAGAATTATACAATTGTAATGAATAGGCAATGTTCCTTATCTTTGCTTTTTTATCCATCTCATTTAATAGAGATGAACGTTGGGTTCAAGGCATTTTCGTTTCTTGATTAGTAGGTAGAACTGCCCTAGTTTAAATAAAATGTCCAGGAATAACCCAAAATCCTTGAAGACAGTACCGGAAATGACAGAGCTGTAATCGCTGGAGTGAGAACAGCGAATGGAATACTGCTGAGATACAAACTGTTGATAACGAAACCCATCAGTACACCTTGCACACTTGCCAGCGACAGCACTTGGAAGCGGATAGCAGCATCGTCTCCACCACCAGAGTTCTGCACAAACAGCAGACCTAGTATAACTCGGAAAAACACTGACACTGATAAACCATTATTAGTCACTTTATTATAGTTGTGCTAGTTAAGCGGTAGTTATTGCCATAACACGAAAGGTCTAACAGTTTACGTCTATATTTCACATGTTGAAAGGATATTCAGGAAATGTTACCGTTGCCCAAATAATCTGTATTGGCCGCCATGAAAGATCTTTGAAATACATCTCAGTGGTACCTCAAAACGGGTACCTAAGGGTCTTCGATAGCTAACGACGCATTTACTTGTGACTTTATATCCATCGAAACTAGCAAGTACGGCACAACGACATTTGTTTATAGAGGAGAATATCACAAAGCGAACATTCACGGTAGTTATATGATAGCTAATGGTCACTGACACCATCATATTGGATGGAATGCTCAGAGGTATGTTACTTAGTGCAGAAACATAACTCACCTTAGTGATGGAGTAATGAGCATAACCTGGAATGGCAAGGAATGCTAGAAGAGCAGCACCAGATTTTCCCAGAAACGCCGAAAGTAGTGGACCTAGTATATACGAGCCGACAACAATACCAGCGTTGGCAAAGAATATCAGTGGCCCACGCAAACACCTCAACAACGGTCTTTGTTGCTGGAGAAACCGAACTCTGAAGTGGAGCGATATTTAACGGCCATAGCAGTGACTATTCATGTTTGCTACCGTATCTTGAACGGCCGTGATGAGCTGTTGAGTTTGCGGCTCGACTTGGTTTCTCGTTTCTTCAATCATTTGCTGAGCAGGCTGACTGTAAGCTTCGATGGTTTGCACAGCGTCTTCCATCTCATGACGATAGCCTTCCACTGCTTCAACTACGGCGTGCATAGCGTTAGAGTTGCGTTAGTAGATGAATAACTAGCCTTACCCGACTTGTTTCATTTTATACTGCTAATCTGGTTAGTACTGATAACATTCATTTCTGATAGCACCAATTTAGAATCCCATCCCTCGTGTCTAAGCTTATCACTATGTGCGTAGAATTGCGTGAACCCACGAAGAATTTCCCGATTAGTTGGATTAACATTACGCTCATTTATTGGTTCTTTCTTTTCGTCGACTGTTTGCCGTTCTCACCGCTCTCTCCTTTGCACCCTTGTTGCTCTTCTCTCATTTCACCCTTCTCTTTCTCTAATTTTGCCTTTCTCTCTCCATCTACGACTGCTCGCTCTGAAGCTGGGAAAAACCGCTCATGTAGTTTCATTAAACAGAGAGTATGGATATATATATATATATATATATATACATGTATATATTTATCTGATAATATGTTTGTTCCTGTTTGTCGCTTTCCATTGCTTTGAAGGATTTGCCAAATCTTTTTACCTTTCTTTTATGATTTTCATTGCATTAAAAACTATCTTACCTTGAGACATTGGGACTTATTGAAGCAATGTGAATGCACAGTAATCAGCTCTTCGTACAGCAATCCACTCTTTGTGTTACTGATAAGGACACGATTAGTAATACAACAAATTATTTATGTACGTAATGAATGCACCAACAATGCAGGCGCACTTGAATCTGACTCTTCGATGGAAGACTAAATTTTCCAAGCAAGAAGGGTAAGGTACGACCTCATCGGCCTGGCACAGACAGAAAAACGTCATCCATTCAACGCCGTCTTTGACACCGGAAAAAAACTGTTCTCCACAATATATATAAAAGAAGGATAAAGCTCTCGTCATTGATTGATCCCGGGGAATACGCGAAGCATTCCACTTCACCAGTATCGTTGGAGGTCGCAGAATGCATGTATGACCTTTACAATGACTACCGGTCGCTTACCGATGTATAGATTTAGTGTTGCTATCCTCCTAGACAAGTCTAACATCATTTTTTCCACTTCGGAAGGATGGAGGGCTTGGTGGGCTATGGGCGCGCGGATTGATTCCACGTGCGTGTTGAAGGGCGAGTCCGACCACTGCGCCACACGCGCCCTTGCGTCGCCGGAATATATGCGGGGGTTCTTCATATGAAGGATCTCGAGCCGGTTAGTCGCGAGACTACCTAGCGCATCCCCGGGTGGAGGACAGGGGTTAGTCGCGGACCAAAAGCTAAGATGCAGCGGGATCCAAGGGATGGACTCTCTATTTCTGCTGCGCCGATTTGGCACATACCTTCTGTATTTGCGAGGCGTGATATAGATCACGAAAAAATAAGGTGACGATCTGTACCTACATTGCACGTGCGCTTGCATCCGAGTCCTCGATGGAAGGATTGATCATGCAGGCGACAAAGATCTAGAAAGGAAAGACACTACGTGATCTGCCTGGCCGGAACGAGACGACGCCACCCATTCAACGCCGTTCATGACATAGTAGAAGAGCAGTTCCTCGGAACGTGGAACAGTGGAGGAGTCGGCCGCGTCGTCGATCTCGTCAACACGAGTTTGTCCGTGAACAACGACTCATTCGGACAACTTACAACCCGAACCGGACGTTTACGATTAAAAAGATGTGGATCAGTACCGGGTTCGACAACCTTCGTCGTTCGTCGTTTATGCACCTTCATCAAACTATGACGAAGAATAAGTCGAAGCGTTCTCTATGGACTTGGAGAAGTTCTACAGAGAAGATCACACATTCTTCACGGCCATCATTGGAAATTTCAACGCCAAGATTGGAAGAAGTGAGCGGCTATCTGAGTTCATCATGACCACCAAAACCATTCATGGTGACACGCAATTCCAGAAGCCGCACCTTCAACGCTGGACGTTTGAGTTTCCCATTGGAGAGTACTATAACGAAATACAATGTTTTTCTTCAATAAGCAGACACGAGGTTGTTAATATAGAATTTATTAGAATACAATAGCTGACGTTTCGCCGGTTTCGCCTTCTTCAGAGCCTGGAAAGGTCAAGTTGAGATATGATCTACTCAGCCAAACACTTTCATAACCCTAGCAGATAAAACTTAACAAATCGATTTGCGAAATAGACCACGTCGCAGTAAATAGAAGGTTTTTCCCAACCGATGTCGCTGTTGTCCCAAATTCTACACGGCATCAGACCATCGTCTGCTTCGTGCAAGATTCTATTCCTCGCAGAAAGGAGAAAAAGCCGCTAAATTCAAAAACTGAAATCCCAGAACCACCGTAAGCTGGGACTTATTCAATTTATTAGTCGGCCGTTAGGAAGATGCCGTTGTCGATAACATCGACGAAGAATACGACCGGCTCATTCAATATCTTCATGTCAGCACTATGAAAGCTGAGAGTTTGAAAGTCACCAAGAGACGTCTGTCTCCAAAAACAGTCGAGCGGATACGCCAGCGTGGAATCGGGTCAGCTGCAGGCAGCCGCGAACAATCGACCGAACTTGCAAAACAATGCAGACAGGCGATAAAAGAAGATCTTAAAGAGAGAAGAGCAGCAGTAATGGTCGAAGCTACAGAGGCTAGGAAAAACATTTGCAAAGGCCACCGAAGCTTCGCGAATTACAAGACCAAGATGATTGCACGCCGACGCCCAGACAGAACATTTACAGCGTCCAGAAAAGCAATGGAAAAAATCATCCACGAATACTACTCGGATCTCCTAGATAGCCACATCCAGCTTCCGTCTTATGAAACAAAGAAGGATGGACATGTTGTACCGCCGGTTCTCCGTTCCGAAATTCGACATGCCATTTTGTCGGTGAAAAGTCATACTCCAGGTTCGGACGTGATAGGATCTGAACACTTGAATAATGTTCTGCCAGTGCTCATAAACACTGGTTCGGCTATTCACGCGTTATCTGTCTGAATGCATGGTTCTAATGGACGACCAGCAAGACCAAGGTAAAGTTTAAGAAGAATGAGCCCTACGAAATCCGCAACTATCACCCAATCTGCTTGCTGTCTGTCGTCTACACCCTAAGCAGGATGGATAGAATACTCGACGGAGGGCAGCCATATGAGCAAGCAGGGTTTCAAAGAGGGTTTTGTACGACGGACCACATCCACACGATAACAAGTTTCATTGTAATATCACGAGAGTACAAAAGACATCTCTGTCTCACTTTCATCGATTTACGGAAGGCCTTTGATTCAGTTGAGATAGAAGCAGTCTTGGAAGCATTTGATACGAACATTACCCAAACAGAACAAATGCTGGCCAACTTTGATAAAGCCTGTGGAAGGATTGGTCTTCGACTAAACCTCACAAAAACGACGTTTATGAGGAACGGATTGGTTTCGTATGCGCTATTCACGCTCGAGGAAACGAATATCTCCGAGCGCTCCAGTTATGTCTATATCGGGTAGAAAATCAATATGATGAACGACTTAGCACCAGAGTTGAGCGGATGGAACCGAGCGCCTTGGGGAGCTTTCAAGAGCATCGAGGAAGTAGTGAGGAAAACAATCCAAACCCGACTGCGTGCCCACGTTTTCGACTCAATGGTGTTTCCTGCGTTAACGTATGCTTCAGAAACCTGGTCCTCTGCGTGAACGGCATAAAAAATCATTCAGCGTTATTGAAAGCGGAGTCGAAAGGACGATGCTAAGAGTATCGCATGTCACGCAAGTAAGGGAAGAGAACCGAAGCTCCGACCTGCGTCAACGATCAAAAATCAAAGATACCGTTCTGTGCGCCAAACAGTCGAAGGTAAGGTAGGCCGGACACGTAATGCGTATGGATGACAACCGATGGACAAGAGCCGTTAGTGACTGGATTGCTTATTATTTTAAACGCACAGCAGGAAGACCACCGATCCGATGGTCAGAGCTCATCACGAAAAGCCTAGAAGAAAGATATGATGCTTGACAAAAGCAGAAGCCACTGGGCTATTCTTGTACGCGACAGGGAAAAATGGAAGAGTTATAAGCGCCCGCTCAAGTCACTTGACGATCAACGAGACTACAGGTGATAAAGGTGATATGTGTTCCTACGAACTCAATTTTATAGCTGATGCGAGGTTGGTATAGATGTTCTTATTGTTGTTGTTGTCGCTGTTCGATGGCTGACGTTTCGGTGACTTCGGCTTTCTCAGAGTCGCGCCGTTGGACTACCCCAGAAGTGTTTTCTTATCCTCGGAACATGCGACAGTGAGGGAGTCGGCTCTCATGGCATTCTGGTCAACACGGGTGTGGCCATGAATATCGATTCATTTGAACAACTAACAATCCGAGTCGGACGTCCACGACTGAAGAGATGTGGATCAATACAGGCTTTGACAATATTTTTTATCTATGCACCTGCATCAAGCTATAATGAAGAGGAGGTGTTCTGCATTAATTTGGAGAGGTTCTAAAAAGAAAACCGTACATTCTTTAAAATCATCTAACGTTAAGATTCGACCCAGATAATTGTCTAAAGGCTTATTGAGACCCACGCATTAGAATAAAACGAACATAGTGTGCCGCTGTCTGTGTTTATCATGACCACTGGTACCACATGGTAACTCACAGTACCAGAGGCACCGCTATCAAGGCTGAATATGCGAGTCTCTCAGTGGAGAGTAGCATAATTAAATGGACCACACTGTAGTAAATAGAAGGTTTTGCCTAACCGACATCTCTGATGTTCCAAAATGCTACATGTGATCCGATCACCTGTTCCTTCTTACAATATTTACTTTTGGCGGAAAGGAGGAAAAGCCGCTAATTCAAAAAATGAAGTCTCAAAAACACCATAAAGTGACATTTATTGATTTCACTAGTTGACTGTTGGGAAGACGCCGTTCTCTGTAACATCGACGAGGATTACGAACGGCTCATTGCACATTCAACATCTTCACGTCAACCCTTTAAAAACTGAGAACGCGAAAGTCACCATGAGACATCCGTCTCCAGAAACACTCGAGTTGATCCTCCATTTCCAATCTAGCGCGCAGTCTACGTTTTGCA